ACTTGTTCCTGCTGAATTTTAACTGGCACTTGATGACGTGTGTAATGCAGGGAATGAAAAATTTCTCTCCTACTGCTGCAAGTCTCTTGGCTGCCATCACAAAAATAGGCGACAATTACTATCCTGAGGTTTTTATACTACCCTTTTCCATAGTAACTTGTTTTCCAGTCATCTTCCTATGTGTATAAACATCATCAACATATATTTGCAGACTTTACATCGAATGTATATCATCAATGCTGGTCCTGGCTTTAAGAGGATGCTTTGGCCTGCTGCACAGAAGTTTCTTGATGCCAAAACTATTGCAAAGATACAGGTATAGGGTATAACTCTTGCTGGAAGTATTTCATATGCCTTTTCCTGAAGTCCTACTGATATAACATACTTTCCTAAATTTCCAGGTTCTTGAACCCAAGTCTTTATGTAAATTACTGGACATCATTGACTCTAGGTATGCTGCACCTTCATCATACTTCCTTGTAGTTTCTATTCAAACTGTTTACTTTATTGTTTGTAAATACATCTATACAGTCAGTTACCAGATTTTTTGGGGGGCTCATGTACATGTCCTGGAGAAGGGGGATGTCTTAGGTCTAGCAAAGGTCCTTGGAATGAACCTGACATCATGAAGGTAATGCTGCTTTGCTATCTCTTGTTTCTGTCAGCATTTTGGAAATATTATAGCATAAAATTACTTTATTGGACTAGTACTGGGACACTAATTTAGGTGTTCTGATTTTAGCTGGTTCATAATGTGGAGGCAACGTTTGCAAGACAAATCACCCAAATGTCCAATGAACAGCAGAATTTAGACTCTTTTTGGATGCGCTTACAGAAGGCAAGTCTCAATCTTCTTTACAATGGATGGTTAAGGTTTCACAAATAATAGCTGCATATATTATTTACAATTACAGTTATACGTCTGACTTCCTTTCTCATCTCCCAGGGACAATGCAGTGATACGTCAACAGCAGAATCTGGATCAGATCTTGATGATTCTTTTTCATCCATCGGACAAAGTAGATTCACTTTTCCTCGTTTAGCCCCAGTTCATGAAGAAGTTAGTTCCAAAATCCTTGTAGTCTATTTCATTTTATAATGCATGTTCTTGTTATTCCATACTGCTTTCATGTTATGTGTGTGTTTTGAGCCTTTAATCATTCAAAAGTCCAACTCTTCTGCAGGTCAGAGTATCAAATAACTACTATAGTTGTGATGATAGTGCTTCTACAGCCGAGAAAATGCTTGAAAGTGATGAATTTCACATTACTCAGGAACAATCATTGCAAAATGATGATATAGGGGATATTTCTTGCGTCGAAAATTCCAAAGGTACTGCTAGTGTGAAGTTATTGAAGCATTTGTGTGTCCCTTTATATATTCTATGTGGAACCGAAGTTGTACATATGCCTTATTATGTAACATTTGAGCCTGAAAGTTGGAAACTAACCTTAGCTATTCTTCACGTATGGTCTAACAGCTTGATTAATTTTAATGTTTAATAATTTTCATATATAAAAGATAAAAAAATGAATGAGTGATTAGATGTAAAAACTGAACACTCTCCAGTTTTTTTTCAACTCGAGAGGATCCATGCTCAGGGTTTAACTGGTATCACTAGTAAGAATATCAGTATTTTCCTTAACTTGCTGGTTTACATAAATTCTCATTTTTTGCAGGCATTTTAGTCAGCAGTTGGTTTAGCTTTCTTAAGGAAAAAGTGGAGCAAACAAAGTTCTTATATGTGTCGAGAGTGCTGATATTTTTTTTTGAAATATTAGTAATGTTCTTCCGTGGTTTAAGATTAGAATTTTGGAGAACAAGGAACAATATCTACCCATCTGTGGCTGCCATGGAACATAACAACGATAACCTTACAACAGCTGGTGAAACACCCTCTGAAAGAAGTCATATTTGTCAATGCATACAACGTCTTGAGAGACTAGAGGAAACATTCGGTGAACTTAGCCACAAACCTGTTGGCATACCTTTGGATAAGGAGCAAATGCTTATGAATTCCTTGGATAGGATTAAAAGTGTTGAGTTTGACCTTGAAAATACTAAGAGGGTATTTCTTTATGCTTTCATCAGTCACCGATAAACTATTGATTATTCTAAGGATATGATGTTTATAATATGTGCCTTTAATGCAGGTGCTACATGCTACAGTGATGAAGCAGCTTGAGATTGCTGAGCTGCTCGAGAATTTGCGGGCATCAAAGAATCAAGTAAATTGCTTCTTGGTAATATTTTAAATATTCCAATGTTTTATATGTTGTGCTTTGTATTGCCAATCTTTTACATAGCCAATCCCAACCCTAAATTAGGCAGTTACTTCTACATGTTGTCATGTTTTTGCAATACACGACTTTAATGAGATTTTGAACTTTAGACCTCTCCCAAACTTCTAGGCTATAACCACTAGCTCATGCTTAGTTGCTAGTGTCATGGATTTTGAGCTTGTACGCGCTTTAATTCCTCTGCAATTAAGTGAGGCTGTTTCTAGCATTTTAACCAGCAATTTCTAAGTCACATGACAGCAACCTTGTGTCCTTGTATTTGTGCCAAGACTCGCCTTCAACAAATTGCGTCTTGGTTCACCAATTAAGAATGTCTAAATTGAACTTATACATTACGTACTTCAATTATACAGCAAATGTTTAGAATTCAAATGGAATAACCACCTCTAACGTACTCTGATAAAACTTCTCCCTTATTGATGTTACTGAATAGTGATTATTCTTGCAGCAGAGAAGGCTGTTCCGCCGAAAGATTCAAGTTTTGGCAAAGAGCTAGAGCTGTTAACACCTCAGAAGATTAATTCAACAGTCAGAAGATTGACCCTTTGTTTGAATGGAGAGAAAATGCAAAGAATAGGGAAAAAAATTAAAATTGAATTGAAAAAAGAAGAGAGAAATTTTTAAAATCATTTTGAAGTCAAACTTTTCTCCCTTTTTTTTCTTCAATAATAATAAAAAAGAAGTACTGTTATGTTAGCAGTATTTTTTTTTTTTTCCTTTTCTCTCTCTTTCTCCTTTGTCAAACACAGGACGAGCTCACTTATTGGACCCATAGAAAGTTGAGGTGAGGGATTACGCAATTAAGCATAGTGAGTTGCCGTAGCACATTCATAGAGACATGGGGATGAGATGATATAGTCCTCGCTGCTTTTGTGTATGTATATATACGGTGTAGTTTTTATGTTAAAATATTTTATCTTATTTGCATAGTATATAGCTTAGTTTGTTGAATAGAGTGCATAAGTTGATGTAAACACTTTAGCACCGAGTTTGAATTAAAACAAAAAGTATATAGCTGGCAAATTTTGTAGCAACGCATGGTTGAGATGCTCTTCTATTCAGTTTTAGAAAGAGTAAACTGTCAATTGAACCTACAAGAACTAAGTTGTCGCATTTAGGGAAGGGGTTCTTAAAGAGACCTATCAATCATAAATTCATGATGCGACAAAGATTAAATGTGAAAAATAAATAAAGGTGTGGTTTAGAAGATTTTTTTTATAGGTTTTAGAAAATATTAAATTATTTCTTTTTCTTTGCTCTGGTTAAAGATTGTGAGAAATGAATGATTTTTCTCACTTTTCTTATACCATTCTCTCTCATTTCTTAAACTCTCTTTAATTGACATTTATCATTTTTATTGGTATTGGTTCATAAGTTTTGATTTTGGATAATATGTTGACCTTATAAAAATTTAAAGATAAATAAGAAAGAAAAAATTGGTAAATTATGATTTTATTTTATAAATCTAATAAAATTAATTAATTAATTATTTATATAGATCATGTTATTCAGTTAAAAATATTTTATAATAAAAAATAGAGAAAATACTTATTAAAGACAAAATGTTGTATAATAAAGAATAGATAAAATACTTATTAAAAACATGTTATAGGAGTAATAAATCTTAGGTCATAAAATTTTCGGAGTGTGTTTCATATGTTTGCATTAGATATGTTAATTAGACTATCTATGCTATGCATATGTATATTAAAGTATTTATTGGTATGAATTTATTTTTAATTTAAATATATAAGTCAACCTTTGAAATTAACATGAAATTATCATGAATAAAGATAAATTAAAACTTGCTAGTTGATAATAAAGATTGAATGTTCATATGCAACACCGCCAAAATATATAAAATTAAGTGAACCTCATAACTGACCGATGCTACCTCGTGAAATGTGGTATATGGTATAATCACCTCCCACAAAGAAACACAAAACGAGGTTAATCGCCCCCACACCTGGCAAAAATATCGTCACTCATGTTTCTTCATCTTCAGAATTAAAGTCTTGTGTGTCTTACACATCAAATAAGACATAGTTACAAATGACAAATAAATAATTAATAAATTTGGATCCCACATCCAGTAATTATATAAAAGGGAAGGGGTTCACATTCATCTCTCTAAAACAAAGCATATATATCATAATAAACCTAATTGTGCACATTAATAGTTAAAAATTAAAAATTAGAACACATCAATTTGTCAGACGCATGGTGTTCACACAACCAACTTGTGTCCATCAATAATTGACATTTAAAATATTTAACATTAATTGGATGTGGTCAAAACTGCATGGTAATTTATCAAACACTTGAAGTTCACACTTGAAGTTCACATAAAAAAAATTATTCAACAACACCTAAATTATTTTTGGTAATTAACTTAAAGTATATCACACCAAGAAACATAATATTTATAGTATATGAGGTACTTGTGATAAAAGATAATTTTTCCTTTATAACTAAAACATACATGATGCATTATTTATAGTGATTTATGATTTTTTTTTATATACAAACTATTAAGAATTAAATTTGTTGGCACCATGTGCAAGTTTAACTATTTATACGAAATCTTACACATTTAATAACTTTTTGTATAGTGTAAATTTTATCAATCTAACAGTTAATTTGTGATATTATACTCAACATTATATATATAAAATTTCACATGATTTGAATTTATTTAGATATGTTATCCAAAAATAAATATTTACACATATTTTAAATATCATATTATTAGTTAAATAAAGTAATGTGTTGAATTACTAAATAATTTAATAATATAATTATGTGAAATTTGATATACATGATATTGAGTATAATATCATACAGTTCAATGTTGGATTGATTAAATTTGCATTATACAAAAAATTATTGAATGTATAAGATTTGATATAAATGTTTTAGACTTATAGTTGGTGCCAACCAATCCGAAACTCTTAATATAACACCTTCCGGGAAGACTTTCCCATATTGCCTTATCACTCATGTTTCCTTCCTCCCCTAACTTCAAAGTCTTACACATTTTGCACATAAAATAACACATGTATAGTTTGTTAAAAATTACAAATAAATAGTTTCAGAAGATGGAACTCCATTGTAACGACTCAACAAGTCACTACACCTAGTACGACATAACTATAATGCAATAAAAAACATAAACATCTACTAGCATAGGATTATCATGGAAGCAATAGCTAGATATTCATGCAACAATCATATGTATAGGGTACAAAAAAGCAAAATATTATTGGCCAATTTTAACTTGAAAACATAGATCTCATATGGTGTTACAACAAACCTTGTACATATATATATATATATATATATATATACATCTAATAAATAAGTACTCAAAACATAAATCCTAGCATCATCAAGCATCTATA